TCCTTACAATGCATACCCTCCCCAATGTCCATCACCCAGTTACCCCGTTCCCCCACCCCACTCCCTTCCAGCAATCCTCTGTTTCCTAAAATTAAGAGTCTCTTATGGTTTGTCTGGGGCGCCTGGGTGGCTCAGATGGTTAAGCATCTGCCTTTGGCTCAGGTCATGATCCCAGTGTCCTGGATCAAGCCCCGCATCGGGCTTCCTGCTCAGCGGGGAGCCTGCTTCTCCCTCTCCCTCTGCCTCTCTCCCTGCTCACGCTCTCTCCCTCTCTCTCTCTCTCTCTGTATCTGTGTCTCAAATGAATAAATAAAAAAATCTAAAAAAAAAAAAAAATAAGAGTCTCTTATGGTTTGTCTCCCTCTCTGGTTTCATCTTGTTTCATTTTTTCCTCTCTTCCCCTATGAACCTCTGCCTTGTTTCTTAAATTCCACATATCAGTGAGATCATATGATAATTGTCTTTCTCCGATTGACTTATTTCGCTTAGCATAATACCCTCTAGTTACATCCACGTCATTGCAAATGGCAAGATTTCATTTTTTTTGATGGCTGCCAAAACAATCTTTAAAAAGAAGAACCAAGTTGGAGGACTTGCACTTCCCAGTTTCAAAACTTAGTACAAAGTAACAGTAATTAAAACAATTAAAGAAAAAAAAAAACAATTAAAGACAGACATATAGAATTAATGGATCAGAATAAAGAGCCTGGAATAAAATGTCACATATAAGTCATATGATTTTAAACAAGAGTGGCAAGATCATTTAGTGAGGAAAGGACAGTCTGTTTAGCAAATGTTATTTAAAAAACTGAATATCCACATGCACATGAATGAAGGTGGACACTTACCTTATACCATATACAAAAATTAGTTTAAAATAGATCAAAGACTTAAACCTAAGAAGTAAAACTATAAAACTTCTAGCAGAAGACATAGGGGAAAATCTTCATGACACTGGACTTGGCAATGATTTCTTGAATACAACATCAAAAGCACAGGTAACAAAAGAAACAATGTATTGGACCACATCAAAATTAAATATTTCTGTGCATCAAAAGACATAATCTACAGAGTGAAAAGGCAACCTATGAACGAATGGGAGAAAATATTTATAAATCATGTATTTGATAAGGAATTAATATTCATAATACATAAAGAACCCCTATAAATCAACAACAAATTTAAAAATGGACAAAGAACTTGAATAAACATTTCTTCAAGGAAGATATACAAATGGTCAACAAGCACACAACAAGATATTTAACATCACTAATACCACTAATCTTTAAAGAAATACAACTCAAAAACCACATTATACCACTTTACTTCCATTAGGATAGTTATTTAAAACACACACACACACACACAAAACCAGAAAACAACTGTTAATGTGGATATGAAGAAATTAGAAACTTTATGCAGTGGAACTGTAAAATGATGCCACTGTTATGGAAAACAATATGGTGGTTCCTCAAAAAATTGAACATAGAATTATCATTTGATCCAGCAATTCCACTTTTAGATATATACTCATAAGAATTAAGAGTAAGGGCTCAAACAGGTATTTGTATACCCATGTTCAAAGCAGCATTATACACAATAGCCAAAAGATGGAAGTAACTCAAGGGTCCATCAATGGATGAATGAATAAATAAAATGTGGTATAATCATGCAAAGGAATATTATTCAGCCTTATAAAGGAATGGAATTCTGACATATGCTACAACATGGATGGACACTGAATACATTAAGCTAAGTTAAATAAGTTAGACACAAAAGGATGAATATTGTATGATTCCACTGATAGGAGGTAATTAGAGTGGTAAATTCATACAGACAGAAAGAATGGTAGTGCTTGGTGGGAGAAGTGGAATCATTGGATACAGAGTTTCAGTTTGGGATGATGAAAATTTCTGGAGATGGATGGTGGTGATAATTACACAATAATATGAATGTACTTAGTATCACTGAACTGTGCATTTAAAGATTTTTTTTTAAGATTTTATTTATTTATTTGACAGAGAGAGAGAGAGAGTACAAGCAGGGAGAGAGGTAGGGAGAGGGAGAAGCAGGCTCCCGCTGAGCAGAGAGCCCGACACGGGGCTCGATCCCAGGACCCCGGGATCATGACCTGAGCCGAAGGCAAATGCTTAACAAACTGAGTCACCCAGGCGCCCCTGAACTGTACATTTAAAAATGTCAAGATGATAAATTTTGTTATGTGTTTTTTACCACAATTTTTAAAAAATTTAATGATTAAAATGGTTTTATGTTATGCACGTTACCACAATTAAAAAAATAAAGCTGGGGGTGTCTAGGTGGCTCAGTTGGTTAAGCATGGACTCTTGATTTCAGCTCATGTCATGATCTCAGGGTCATGAGATCGAGCCCTGCATCAGGCTCCGAGCTGAGCATGGAGCCTGCTTAAAATTGTCTCTCCAGGGAACCTGGGAGGTTCAGTTGGTTAAGTATCTGCCTTCAGTTCAGGTCATAATCTCAGGGACCTGGGATCGAGTCCCATGTCCAGTTCCCTGCTCAACAGAGAGTCTGCTTCTCCCTCTCCCTCTGCCCTCCCCCCCACTGTGCTCTCTCTCTCAAATAAATAAAATCTCTTAAAAAAAAAAATTCTCTCTCCCTCTGACCCTCCCCATCCACATGCTCTTTCTCACTCAATAAATAAATGAATGAATAATAAACAAATAAATATAACTAAATAAGCTAATGTTTTTTAGCCCTCTTCAGCCCATCCCTCCCATTGATTACAAACAAAAACTCTGGGAAAAATATAAAAATTAACTACTTGAAGACTGAAAAGTAAAAATCAAACAAGGAGTCAAATATGGAGAAGCAAACTGCACAAAAGTGAGTTTCCCAAACTTTTCTCTCTTGCTGTCTTACAGCTTTTCCTCAAGTGTGCATCCCAGTCATGATGCTTCTCAATGAAGGCACCTAAAACTCTAACAGAAACCTATGTTCTAAGCCACATAAACCAGAGAATGTCCCCCTTCAGGCAGGAAAGTGTGGGTGGAATCCCAAAAGTGACAGAGCAAGAAAAGCAGATGTCCTAATTCTGTGTATGATTCCATATAAGTCTCAACCTAACCACTACACTATACATGCACATGACAGCCCAAAACCAGCATAGCTAAGGCTTAGAGAACTAGGCTTAGAGAACTTGAACCTAAAAATGATGAAGTGAAATTCACATTCTAGGGTGCCTGGGTGGTTCTGTTGGTTAAGTGACTGCCTTTGGCTCAGGTCATGATCCTGGAGTCCCAGGATCAAGTCCCGCATTGGGCTCCCTGCTCAGTAGGGAGTCTGATTCTCCCTCTGATCCCCCCCCATCTCCTGCCCCCTCTCTCTCTCAAATAAATAAATAAAATTGTTAAAAAAAGAAATTCACATTCTAAACCTAATCAGGTTGACTGTCTGCTAAGCAAAAACATTAGCATTCTCCAGAGAATTACAAAAGAACCCAGAGTCTATGCTACGTAGCATTCACAATGTCCAAGATGAGATCCTAAATTACTTGACACACAAAGAACAGAAATTTGTCACCCATTATCATGGAAGAAGACAATCAACAAACACCAACTTAGAAATAGCCAGATATTGGATATATCCAACTAAAATTTTTAAAAGCAACTATTGTCATTCATATGCTCCATGAGATAAAGGAAAATAAACTTGAAATGATTTTGTGGGGTGATGGAAATAGAAATGTTTGTTATCTTAATTGTGGTAATGATTTGATAGGGGTATACATATATTAAAAAAGATAAAATTGTACACTTTAAATAGTGTGGTGTAGGGGCACCTGGGTGGCTCAGTCAGTTAAGCGTCTGCCTTTGGCTTGGGTCATGATCTTGGGGTCCTGTGATTGAGCCCCACATTGGGCTCCCTGCTCAGTGGAGGCTCTGCTTCTCCCTCTTCCTCTGCCCTCCCCCCATTCATGTTCTCTCCCTCTCTCAAATATTTTAAAAATTAAATAAATAAATATATGTTGTTTATTGTATGTACAGCTCAATAAAGTTGTAAAAAAAAGAAACAATCATACCTATGCCAAGCACAAGGTAAATATTATTAATGACCATTTTACAGACTAGGAGACTTAAGTTCAGAAATTAAGTATTTGCCTAAGGTTACAAAGTTAACTGTGTTCAGAATTCTATGCAGACTTTTTTTACTTCCAAAGCTATGTTATTTCCTTAGCTGAGAAAATAATACAGTGTTACTCAATTTATGAGATATTAGGAGGATTGAATAAAGTATGTTTCTATGATACTAAAATTCATATGAGATAGTTAACTTATATTAGTACATGGATTTCATACCACCAATTACATGTTATAATTTTCCTACTAAACTGAAAGAAATATTTCCACTAGTAACAAATCTCAAAGGAAACACATTAACAGTGAGTACAGATTGCATTTTAACCTCTACTTTTTCACTAGCAAGTCTGAGAAATATAAGAAACATTATATACAGATGGCACTGTGTGGGTTAATCTACTGATAAAATCTGTGAAATATCTATAATCCATACATAATGATACGTAGTATTTCCCAATTTAAGCCACTGCTTATTATATTCTTTTAATAAAAACCATGCATTAATCGCAAGATGTTGTTAAAGACAATTTCATTACATGGAAATACACTCATACTATGTTAAAAAAAAAAAGCAATTTACAAAAAATTACTTGTTTTAAAATGCATATACCTACAGAGAAAAAGATTGGAAAGATATATAATACATATAAAATATTGTGGGTGATTATGGGTGATTTTAATTATCTTTTTGCTTCTCTGAATTTTCCACCCTTTCTATAATAAACAAGTAGTGTTTTTTAATATGGAAAACCATTAAGAGCTATTGTTTCAAAGTGTAACAACAAACAAAAGGGCCCCACTTACCAAGATGGATTATCTTTGCTTTCTATTTAGGTCTGAGTATACCTGTCTTACAAGATACAGTCACAGTCTAGTACCACTCACCTGTCCAACTGCTTGCAAGTTATAGCAGACAATGTCCTTATTGGCTGCTGAAGTTCCATAAAGAAGTGCCTCAGTGAGCCAGCATATCCCCAGGAGAAGGTCAGAGAAGCTCAGATAAAAGAGTGGCCTTATCTGTCAAAGCAACAAGAGCCTCATTTCATAAATGATGTAACTAGGAGAATGTAACAATCAATTATTTTTATGTTATACCTTTCTAGTAAAAACCTGGGCCACCATTTTTCTGGGGTCTCTGTCATTGGTGGACTGTGGGGAATGTAAAGGAATACTCCAGGTAGGCAGGAATACATAATTGCAACTATCCCAATTGTCCTGGAATCAGACTACTCATGGATAGACTAGCATTGGAACTTCTTCCTCATAAACATATTCCTTCCTCAGATATAGGGACAAAGGAAAAAATGGGCAGATAAGGAATTTTGTGATGGGAGACACACCACAAATAGAAAATTAAAAGTGCTCTAGTTGCACAGCCAACATCCAACAATAGGAAATGAGATCATCGGCTGAGTTTTGGGATATGGTTAAGGACTCAAGAAAAAAAAAACAGGTTTTTAAAATCTTAATATAGTTTAACTTGCATTTTTCTTTTTCTTTCCTTTATTGAAAAATTGTAAGATATTTAGTGTGCAATGGGATGATTTGATATACATGTGCATTGTGAAAGGATTTCCCCAAGTTAACACCTCCATCACCACACACATTTACTTTTTTTTTTTGATGAGAACACTTAAGTTCTACTCTCTTAGCAAATTTCAATTATACAACACAATGTTATCAACTATAGTCACCACATTATACATTAGATCCCCAGACCTTATTCATCTTATTTTGTCAATGAAAACTCAAGAGTAGGAAAAACATCAGTATGAATTGTATATGCTGCTTTTCAATTTCTGACCCCATCAGTAAAGTTTGTCCTTCTTTATCACTTTCTAGTATTCTTCCCCTTTTGGCCTCCCTACTCCCACATTTCTAAAAATAGTATTGGTTAGCCTACAGAGAAAATTATAAAATGTTTATTGAGAGACACCAAAAGAGATCTACAGTGAACAAATATACTATGCTCATGGATTGTAAGACCTAAGATTACAAAAATGTTGGTTCTCCCTAAACTGATACATAGATTAAATGCAATATCAACTGTATCTCAACATATTTTCTTGTGGAAGTTGACAAGCTGGCTCTACATCTGATATAGAAATACAAAATATAAAGATAACCAAGACATTCTTAATGAAAGAGGAAAAAGAAGACTTGTCCTACACATAGCAAAACTTAATATAAAGCTAGAGTGCAGATACTGTGGTCCTAGCACAGGGATAAATAAGCAAATAGACAAATGAAACAGAATCAGAGCTCAAACAAACCTAAGCATAAATAAAAACTTTTTATACATGATAGAAGTGGCTTTTTAAAAAAGATTTTATTTATTTGACAGAGAGAGAGAGCTCGAGAGAGAGCACAAGCAGAGGGAGCAGCAGAGGCAGAAGGAGAAGCAGACTCCCCACTGAGCAGGGAGCCCGACGCGAGGGTCAATCCCAGGACCCTGAGATCATGACCCAAGCCATCTGAGCCACCCAGGTGCCCCTAGAAATGTCTTTTTTTGAACATTTTCATTTTACTATTATTGTTATTATTATTATAGTAAACTCTACACCCAATGTGGAACTCACACTCACAACCCTGAGATCAAGAGTTGCAGGCTCTGCTGACTGAGCCAGCCAGGCAACCCATAAGGCGGCTTTCTGGATCAAGAGAGAAAGGATAGTCTTTTCAAAATATGATGTTGCAACAACTGGGGGTCTGTATGGATAAAAATAAAAGTGGACCCCTACTTTCTATCTCACACACTCAAAAATGAGTTCCAACTGGTTTAAATAACTAAATGTGAAAGGCAAGAACCATAAAAAATTTTTTTTAGATAATAGAGGAGAATGTCTTCAACTTCTGGCCAGGGAAATTTTTCCTAAACAAAACAAAAAGGCTCTAAAAGGAAGTAATTGAAAAATTCAACCAGTGAAAAAGAAAAATGTGTCAAAAGACACCATAAAGAAAAAGACATGCCACAAAATGGGAGAAGATTATTTGCAACACATAAAACTGACAAAGGACCGGTATCAAAACAATATTAAAAATAAAAACAAACAAAAACTCTTACAAAGCAATTAAAAAAAACCCAGTAGAAAAAAATAGGCAAAACGTGTGAACAGGTACTTAAGAAGAAATCCAAATGGTCATAAACATATGAAAATATGCCCAATATCATTAGTAATCAAGGAAATGAAAAAATTAAATCTACAATGAGAAAAAAAATTCTATATTCATGGTAAAAATTTTTAAAGTCTGACAATATCAAGGATTAATGGAAACATGAAGCAATGAGACCTTTCATACCCTCTGGCACAACCATTTAGCAAAAGTTTGGCATTATCTAGGAGATATGCCTCTCCTACAGCAATTCTGTCATTAGGTAAATACACTAGAGAAATGTTTGCATGTGTGCACCAGAAGACATGGACAAGATTATTTATAGCAATACAGATACATAAATTATGATATGTTCAAAATACAGAATGCTAAACATCAGTGAAAAAGAAATGAACCAGAGCTTTACACAACATGAATAAATCTTACAAATAACACTGACAAAAAACAGCAAATCACAAAACTATATAAAAAATACATACAATATTAGTCCATTTACAAAAAGTTAAAAAATGAGCTGAACTAAATTGTTTAAAGATACATACATTGACAAAACTGTACATAAAAGCAAAGAAATTATAATCACAGAAGTTGGGACAGTGGTTATCTCTAGAAGTGAGGACGAGATTTGTGACCAGTAAGGAGCATAGTAGGTTGACCAGTAAGGAGCATTTTGGTACAGACAATTTCTATTTCTTGTCCATAGTAGTTATAATCATTCTTTAAGCAGTACATACAAGTTTTATGCTTCTAATCCATATCTGATATATATCACAAGAAAAAGTAAATTAAAAATTTTTTTAGGTTATTACCACATACTACCTAATATAAAAACTAATCTCACCTGTACAAAAGGGAAGTTTTCTAATTCCCCTCTTCCAAATGAGAGGAAACCTAAGATGCTATACCTTGCAAACAGGGGTAAATGGTCAAGTTGCTTTGGCTAACAGATACAAAAACAAGTGAAATAACATTTTAAACTACATTTAATAAATATCAGATATTATTATTATTTTTAGCATATATAGCCTTTGCTCTGGGTAAGCCTACTAAAATTCCAACTAGATGGCACATTCACAGATTCTACTGGCCCATGACCTTCCACAAGTTTATAACTGTTAATGGGTAAAAAATTAAAACTGAACACAAAATAAACTCCGGAGGAGAAAGGCAGCCAAGAGACTTTTGTGAGCAAGAATGTAATTTTGTTTATGGTCATTGATTCAATAAATAGCCTTATAAAGAGAGAGCTGTTTGCCACTAAAACATACCTAAAGTCTTTGGCAGGGAAATGGAGGATAAAAAGAGGTTTATATAACTTCACTCATGCTTGGAAAACAATGAGTTCTAGTAACAGGAGATAAAGTCAATCAAGTAAACAACAAAAATTAACCGAGTACCTACTAAAATCAAGAAAAATTTCACCCTGCCTATGTTCACAAGATACTATGTTGAATGTAATACAAAGAAAGGTTCGGTATAGCCCATGGTTTAAGGAAAGTGCAATCAAGCACAGTGTGCAGTACTTAGGCAGACACATAAAAGCCTAAGACATAGTCCTAAATATGAAAGCAAAAACTCTTTTTAAAAAACATGCATAGGGATGTCTGGGTGGCTCAGTTGGTTAAGTGTCTGCCTTCGGCTCAGGTCATGATCCCAGGGTCCTGGGTTCGAGTCCCGCTTTGGGTTCCTTGTTCAGAAGGGAGCCTGCTTCTCCCTCTGCCTGCCGCACCCCCTGCTTGTGCTCTCTCTCTCTCTGACAAATAAAAAAAATAAAATCTTTTTTTAAAAATGCCTAATTTGTACCTAATTTAAATCAAGAGCAGGATAAGGGGTAGGGCAGGGAGGATGTGCATTGTGTGAAAGGCTTTCCCTGGGGAGGTTCGGGTCCAAGTCTGTGCTGGTGAGGTTCATAGGAATACTCTTCTAAAACCCTGCTTCCCAATATTTCTATTCAAATGAAATCAGGTTACAAAGAATATCAAAAGTGATCTTCTTGGGCAAATTAAGTCACATAAGTGTAATAAAGTATCTGCCTTGAGTGTTATTTAACAATGGCTAGTCTGGCCACTTTCTTCTCCAGTTTGCTTCTCTGAGTCATTGTTTCATCAGCTAGTCCCCTCAAAGATTCCCTATGGATTTCTCCAATTTACCATATTTATTTTTAATTTAATAGACTATTTTGGTCTTTTTCAGATTATTACTTCCATGTGTTTTTTGCTGTTAAAAATATTCTTTGATAGGGACGCCTGGGTGGCTCAGTTGGTTAAACGACTGCCTTCGGCTCAGGTCATGATCCTGGAGTCCCAGGATCGAGTCCCACATCGGGCTCCCTGCTCAGCGGGAAGCCTGCTTCTCCCTCTGCTCGTGCTCTCTCTCTCTGACAAATAAGTAAATAAAATCTTAAAAAAAAAAAAAAATTCTTTGATGGAGGAAAAAGGAAAACTGGAGGATGGTTGACATTCTTAACCTGGAAAAATTGGAATTTTTCCTACACCAAGAAAACAGAATGTGTGGGAACCAGTGAACTAGTGGTTGCTAAGGTCCTTTAGGCTCTGGTTATGTGAAAGGTATGAGAACTGAAGCCAGAGAAACTAAAGGTCACATCCTAGGCGAAACTAGATCCCACATCTTTATAAAGCTCTAACCCGTTGTCACGCCAGAAGTCACCTTAGAGCAGTGGCTCTCAGCCAGGAGCAATTTTGCCTCCCCCAGGAGACATCTGGCAATATTTGAAGATATTTTGGTTTTTACAACCTCAAAGGTAGGGGGAGGTAGTTTGCTTCTAGCATCTAGTGGGTAAAGTCTGCTAAACATCCTAATGTGCAGACAGCCCCCTATAACAAATAATCATCCAGTCCAACAGATAAATAATGCAGAGACTGAGAATCTCTGCTTAGCTCTCTCTACTACATAACTAATACTTTATTAACTTAATCATGTATGAATTCAAATTTCAGCAAAGGAGACAAACATTAGGGAAATCTGAATCACAGAAAGATATGTGGTCCAAGATTACTTTGGCAGGCAATGACAAAACAGTACCAAGACTTCTACTCTCCAGTTTTACTTACATAGTCACAGTCTATGTCTGAAATTCAAAATCCTATCTTCATTAGGTATCATATTTCAGTGGCTTAAAAAGCATATATGGAGAAAGGCTTTGGAACAAGACAATCCTATCCTCAAATTCTAGCTCTAACAACTTACTGGCTACAAATAAGACCTTAGGAATGTCCCTCAACCTTACTAGGATTCCATTTCTTCACTATAATATGAGATTAATAATATCCTCCTCACAGAGTTGTTTTAAGGATTAAATGAAAAATGTATTTAAAACACTGAGCACATCTGTCTAGAATACAATAAATACTAAATACTGTGTTTAATTTGAAGGGGGACTGTAGTTAAGAGTTGGACTTTTGAAAATCTGTTCTGCTACTTACTGTAAAATTTGAACAAGTTATTTCATGACTTTGAGCCTCAATTTCCTCATCTGTGAAATGGAGCTAATATCATCCTTCTCATGGGAGAGTGATGAGAGCCAATAAGATAAAGTTTGTAAAGCACCTAGCATACTTGGAACTCAGAAAGTGTTCAACATACAGAACTATTTTGATTACTAAAGTGGGCCTAATAAAACCCAATCACATTTTCCACATACAAAAGCTCTCCCATTTACATCCTGAACTATATTTTGTCTAATTTTGTGCCATTTGGCCTGGTTAGAGAAGTAGTTGTTACATTTCTCTTAAAATCTTTTCATAGCTAGGAAATACATCTCTCTTCCTAGTCCTCTCTCAATCAGGAAGGTTTTTTGTTTGTTTACACCTTAAATATATATAAATTTTGTTTGTCAATTATACCTCAATAAAAGGAAAGTTTTTTTACTTGATCTTTTTGGTATGAATAATTTTACATAGGATGTATTTTTACTCTGTTTTCACCATTAAATTGTAATTACCTAGAAGGCCTGAGCAACAAACCTAATACTTTTTGGACAACAAAGTCTCTGAGCTATTTCCTAGCCCCACTAGCAATGTTACCAAGATATCAGTATCAGAAAACTCACCTCTTGGCAGGACCATACTGTGCTTAGAGTGACTAGAGGCTTCAAACAACTGTTTCCTAACTTTAATAATCAATGAATAGCAAAAAAGTGTACTTTTTAGTAGGCAATCTCTCAGTATTCAAAGTTATAGTTAAAATAATTACCTAGAAGAAAAGGGAAACCTATTGACTTGTCTAAAATATCTCAATGTATCATAATGACAAATTTACAAGTAATTCATAGAATTATTCCATTATTTATGGTCACACTTCTCTTATTTATTTCAAAAGCTAAGTCACTCAACATTCAAATCCAACCCAAAAAGAGTTTGCTCACCTCTGGAGATTTCTGTATATTCTGGAATATGGCATAGGCAATAAGTGAACTTGAGCCTATAACACTGACAGAGATAAAAGATAATCATTAAAAGAGGACTATTGGGGCTCCTTCATTTTTCCTAATGATTTTTTATAGCTTTACTGATATATAATAGATGTAAAATAAATTGCACATTTTTCTAAAATATGGAATGCTTCATGAATTTGTGTGTCATCCTTGCATAGGGGCCATGCTAATCTTCTCTGTATCATTCCTACTGATTTTGCAAATCAATCCTGTTGACCAAGTCCTTTGATTTTCATTTTTTTTTAAAGATTTTATCTATTTATTTGAGAGAGAGAGAATGAGAGAGAGCACATGAGAGGGGGGAGGGCCAGAGGGAGAAGCAGACTCCCCGCAGAGCAGGGAGTCCGATGCGGGACTCGATCCAGGGACTCCAGGATCATGACCTGAGCCGAAGGCAGTCGCTTAACCAACTGAGCCACCCAGGCGCCCAAGTCCTTTGATTTTCAGATGTCATTCCTCAATCTGGTTTTTTTGTTATTGTTGATGTTACATTTTATTAATCAGAAAATATCAACATGGGGGCGCCTGGGTGGCTCAGTTGGTTAAGCGACTGCCTTCGGCTCAGGTCATGGTCCCGGAGTCCTGGGATCGAGTCCCACATCGGGCTCCCGGCTCAGCGGGGAGCCTGCTTCTCCCTCTGACCCTCTCCCTTCTCATGCTGTTTCTCTCTCTCTCTCAAATAAATAAATAAATAAATAAAATCTTTAAAAAAAAAAAAAAAGAAAAAGAAAATATCAACATGGTAAAGAACAGCATTTCTCCCTAAAGAGTAAAAGCAAATACCCAGGGGGAAAATGCAGAAAACTTTAGAATTCTACAGCTTTGCTTCTACTACTTTAAACAGTCATAGTACATGAGATTAAATAAATTTACCTCAGAGTAGCCATAACAAATTGTATCCACTGTATTGCAGAAAAAACCTAAATAAAACAAGAGAGTAAAATTAAAACTTATACATTTAATATCCAACCTTACTCCAATTTCACCGTTTATTAACTGTGCAGAGCACAAAGTCTTCAGTGTCTAATCAAAATACCCTACAAGTCTGAGAAGGAGCAGAAAGGCCTCTGGAAAGGCAAGGTGGCTCCTTGTGTCCTCTCTTATGCTCCATCTCTGGAAACAGTAAGATAAAAAGAACAGAGAGGTGGACAGAAAATGACTAAATGAAAAGAGAGTTGGATGAGAAGATTTAAAAAGGAAAGAATAAAATTAAGACGACACAGGAAAAGTTAAATTTTGAGAGAGAATAGACAGATGTGTGAAAAGAATGGGTAAAAGGAAAGGTAAACAAATACTATATATAGTCGGCTGAGAGCTAGAGAAAAAATAGAATAGTAAGCAATAAAGAAACAGGAAGAAGTAGTAAAGAGATACTGCGAGTGAAAAATACAGAACAAGGAGGAAAAAAGGTGGAGCAAAAAGAAAGAGACAATTTATAATCTCACCAAGTCCCAATTGTCCTCCAGAATGCTAGCCTCGAGCAGGAAGGCCATAGGGACTTCAGCCCCAGCTCTGCTTAAACAGCCCAATCCTTCTCAGGTTCTGAATCTTGAAGCACTGAACAAGTGGCTCCACCCCTAGCCCAGCTGGGCCCCTCCCTACCAATACTGCCCTGTATCTTGAGGACAAGGAAAGAAGGTGGGGACAAGTGGAGGAGAAAGCCAAGCAGAAAGAACAAAAATAGAAAGAGCAGGTGACAAGGAAACAAAGTTCTAAAAAGCGTTAAGAATTGTAAGAAGAGGAAGAGACAGGAATAATAAAATATAGAGAGAATGGTGAAAAGATAAATAGAGCTGCAAGACAGAAGTGGAACAGAAAAAAGGGAGAGAAAAATAAGTAAGGAGGTCTGCTTAAAACTTGCCCCATTTAGGGACAAAAGCCTGGGATGGAAAAGAGAGACTGCATATTAAAGCAATCAATAAATTTTTAATAATACCAAGAAAAGCTGTGAAGAGAAGGTGTTGTTAATATCTCATATTTAATAGTAACATCTGAAATATTCTGTACCAAAAACTCCCACCAGAAATATATTAACTTACATGATTCATTTAATATACTTATGTTTATATAACCACTCTGTATAAAGCATTGTGCCACAGAAGATACAAATAAGAGACAGACCCAGACTTCCAGGAGCTTATAACATAGTAGGAAACATGGCCTGAATACCAGAATCTCAAATTATCTGCATACAAAAAAATACACACTGCCTATCATTTGAACAATATTCGGAAGAACTGGTGAAATTTGGACAAAGACTATGGTAAGGAGAAAGCAGAAGGAAGAACATTTCATTTATATAACCATTTATCTTTCATCTAACTATACTTTCATACACTCTACAAATATTTATTGATAACATAAATTGGATCATTTGCATAGGTTCAGTGATTTAGTGATTTAAATATGTGATTCATTTATTCATATGAGGTTAATATACGATTCATTTATTCACCATAGTGTGGAGTAGAAGAAGGGACATCGTTAAATAGAGGTAGGTTCTGGTGGGAAACTGTTAAATTGGAGGTAGGCTCTAACCACTTTGCTTAGATCATTAGATAAACAGGGGCAGGTGAGTGGCTCAGTCGTTAAACATCTGCCTTCAGCTCAGGACATGATCCCAGGGTCCTGGGATGGAGCCCCGTGTCGGGCTCTCTGCTCGGTGGAAAGCCTGCTTTTCCCTCTCCCGCTGTGTCTCTCTCTATCAAATAAATAAATAAAATCTTTATTAAAAAATCATTAGATAAACAAAAAACACAAGTAGATTTCTGGTTCAGAAATCCCTACCATAAGGTCTCAGGGAGTGTTCTGAGGCCTCTAATCATATATCTATCTAATAAGGGTGAGAGGACTAATGACAGTCTCACCAAGTGATAAGAGAATGTTTTTGGACAAAGGACTCTTGTTCAATCAAGAACAATCTCAGATTGTTCAAGGAACAACCATGCCAAATCAGTCTGCTGCTCCTGACATTAAGAACTTTTCTCTCTTGCCACCTCTTCTAAAATGTCTTATGCCACTGACCAAATTCCCATGTGGGGATTTACCTTTCCATTTTTCTCTCTAGATTAGTACCCTGTTTTTTGTATATTTAGCATCATTCCCCCTTGAAATATCTTTTGAAACATAATCTTCCCATCTTCCTTTTCTGCAAGGGCTAACCCAAGCCCAAATGAAGTGAGTGATACTTATTTTTAGTTTTCTCTTCTTTCACTTAGCTCCTTAGTAAGCTCAGAAACATCACAGCTCACTTAATGTAATGGGTTACTACATTTCATGTATCAATTAAATTAACAGATATTCATTAAACGTCTACCATGAGCAAGTTACTACTGTGGATACAAAGTCAAGAAAGACACCTTCCTAGTAAAATATTTTTTATTTAAGCAAAACCTAAATACGATTTCTAGTAATAACATCTACCAATTATCAAGTGCTATCTATGTGTAAGGCTCTATGCTAAGCATTTTAATTGTCAACACAACCTTTGAGGTAAGAAGTAATATTCCCATTTTTTAAAAAAAATTTTAGTAGACTCTACACCCAATGTGAGGCTTGAACTCACGACCCTAAGGTCAAGAGTCCCATGTTCTACCAACTGAGCTAACCAGACACCCCAGTAATGTTCCCATTTTTCAGATGAAGAAACTGAGGCTTAAAGAAGTCACTTCTAGGGCGCCTGGGTGGCTCAGTTGGTTAAGCTACTGCCTTCGGCTCAGGTCATGATCCTGGAGTCCCGGGATCGAGTCCCACATCGGGCTCCCTGCTTGGCAGGGAGTCTGCTTCTCCCTCTGACCCTCCTCCCTCTCATGCTCTCTGTCTCTCATTCTCTCTCTCTCAAATAAATAAATAAATAAAATCTTTAAAAAAAAAAAAAAGAAGTCACTTCTAGTGGTTACAGAGTTACCAAGTGGTACTCAAATCAATTCAAATCCAGTCATTCTGACTTCAATAGTTTGCACTCTTAACACACACAATATCCTAATGGAGAACTAGTTAATAGGAACACAGGGAAAGATAATGTTAAAAATTAATGGAACATCAGGGCGCCTGAGTGGCTCAGTCAGTTGGGCATCTGTCTTCAGCTCAGGTCATGATCCCAGAGCCCTGGGATTGAGCCCCACATCGGGCTCCCTGCTCAGTGGAGAGCCTGCTTCTCCCTCTGCCTGCCACTCTATCTGTGCTCTCTATCTCTCTGTCAAATAAATAAATAAAATCTTTTTAAAAAAATTAATGTAACATCTGGGATGCCGAGGGAGCTCAGTCATTTAAGCGTTTGCCTTCAGATCAGGTCATGCTCCTAGGGTCCTGGGATGGAGTCCCACATCAGGTTCCTTGCTCAGTGGGGAGCTTGCTTCTCCCTCTGCCTGCAGCTCCCCCGGCCTGCTACTTGTGCTCTCTGACGAATAAATAAATAAAGTCTTAAAAAAAAAAACAACTAATGTGGGGTGCCTGCGTGGCTCAGTAGGTTGAGCATCTGCCTTCGGCTCAGGTCATGATCTCAGGATCCTGGGATCCAGCCCCATGTCGGGCTCCCTGCTCGGTGGGGAGCCTGTTTCTCTCTCCTTCTGCCCCTACCCCCACCCCGTGCTCTCTCTAGCTCTCTCTAATTGATAAATAAAATCTTAAAAAAAAAAAAAAAACTAATGTAACATCAAGGTAGCTCTTTTATTAGGCAATTGCTTCTTAGATATAACAAATGCATAAGCAACAAAAGAAAAAACAGATAAATTGGTCTTCTTCAAACTTAAAAAATTTTCTGCTTCAGAGGATACCATCAAGAAAGCCACAGAATGGAAAAAAATATTTATAAACCATACACCTAATAATGGACTTATATAAAGAATATATAAAGAACTCCTACAGGGGCACCTGGGTGGGTCAGTCAGTTAAGCCTCTGACTCTTGATTTTGGCTCAGGTCATGATCTCAAGATGATGGGATCAAACCCCACGACAGGCTCCATGCTCAGCAGGGAGTCTGCTTGAGATTCTCTCTCCCTCTCCCCCCACTCACATGTACACTCTCTAAATAAATAAGTAAATAAATAAATAAATAAAATCTTTTAAAAAAAACCTCCTACAATTCAATAATAAAAATACAACCCAATTTAAAAACGAGCAAAGGGCGCCTGGGTGGCTCAGTCGTTGTGTCTGCCTTCGGCTCAGGTCATGATCCCAGGGTCCTGGGATCGAGCCCCAAATCAGGCTCCCTGCTCTGCAGGAAGCCTGCTTCTCCCTCTCCCACTCCCCCTGCTTGTGTTCCTGCTCTTGCTAGCTCTCTCTGTCAAATAAATAAATAAAATCTTAAAAAAAAACGGGCAAAGGTTTTAAATAGAAATTTCTCCCCCCAAATAAACAAATGACTAGTCACCATAGGAAAAGATGATTGACATCATAAGCCAGCAGGGAAACAGATTAAAATCACAATGAGATAACATCTCATTTTATTATAGCTATCTCATTTTATTATAGCTTTATAATAATATCTCATTTTATTATAGCTATCTCATTTTATTATATATAATATGCTCTTGCTATCTCTCTGTCAAATAAATAAATAAAATCTTTAAAAAAAAAAGATAGACAATAGCCAAGTGTTGCTGAAAATGTGGAGGAATAGAAACTCTTATACACTGCTGGTGAGAATGTAAAATGCTGCAACCACTTTGGCAGTTCCTCAAAAGGTTAAACATATATGACTCAGCTGCTAGGTATAAACTCAGTTCTACTTCTAGGTATATACCCATGAGAAATTAAACATATGTCCACACAAAAACTTGAACACAAATGTTTATAATGTTGTTATTCATAAAAGACAAAAGGCAGAAACACAAGTGTCCATCAACTGGTGAATGGATAAATAAAACGTACTATAACCACATAATGAAATATTATTCAACAATTAAAAGCAAAGAAGTACTGATGCATTCTACAACATGAAGAACCTTGAAAACATTATGCTAAATGAAAGAAGCCAATCACAAAAGACCACATATTCTATGATTCCATTTGTATAAATGTCCCAAACAAGCAAATTTATAGACACATAAAGTAAATTAGTAGTTGCCTAGAACTAGGAAGGTTAATTTGGGAGAGAATGGGGAGTGACTACTGATGGGCACAAGATTTCTTTTTAGGGTGACAAAAATATTCTAAAATTAGGCAGTGGTGATGGTTGCACACTTTATGAATATACTAAAACTCACTGAATTGTACACTTTAAAAGGATAAACTGTAAATAGGAACATTTTATAGGGATACAGTAATTGTCCCTTGCTGAAATTCATGGTGTAATGATTAATGGATAACATGTTTCTGTCTTTCCTACTGAAAAGAATAATATTTAGAATAAAAAGTGTAAAACAAACATTGTAAGAGGGAACTGAAGATAAAGATTGTAAGAGAGCACCTGACTGCTCTAAATGAATCCACCACTCCTGGTCTGAACAAATTACACTTTAGGACTTTGATAAAACTTGCAGGTTAACCCAATAAACCACTGAATGAAATCCGAG